TTTTATGCATTGGGGGAAAAAGAGACACTCGTGTAATTTCTGTGGGGGAAAAAGAGACACTCCATTGAAATACACGGAGTTCTCAGAGACAAACCCCTACTGTCTCGCAGAGGCCGATTTTGATTATATGCCAAATGGCAAAGTTGTTCAGAATGCTGAACTCTATAACATATGTGAGAATCAGCTCTTTACTCCACTGTAAAAATTTTGATATTGGCTTCGCAAAAAATGCGATATAAATTCGAATATATTTTATGCATTAAATTAATTTCATAATTAATTATGATAATTATAGCCACATTTTTAATAAAACATTCTGTCCATGTCATCGACCAGAATCTCCTCTATCAAATGCCAAAACAATCAACTAAAAACTGCAACAGATAGTCAAGATAATACCAAATTATTCAATATGTGTCCGATTTCGACATCTCAAATACAATATAATATCAACAGTTGAAAGTCAACGACGTTTTTGATTGCATATTTCAACGCATAATTGAAATGTTGTTCTATCCTAATAGTTGAACTTTCAGACTTAAAGATTGTTGACGCTGAAATAAAGCGTAGTAATTAATATAAATAAAATGTAATCAGTTAGGTGATGTTGTTGAGGATAGTTTATGATTAAAGCTAATATAAAAGTAGTCTCAGCTACCTTTTTTTTTTCGATTGTTTGAGTGTTCTTATTGCCTATATATGCTCATGACTCGGAAATCTCAGATGCCACTCATAATTTCTACAATGCCTCGATCATACGTGAAGAAAAATAATAGACAACATTATTCAAACGATGATTTACGGCAAGCTCTCAATAGCATCAATGATGGTAAGTCTATTCGTCAAGTGGCTGCAGACAGTCATATACCACTTTCAACACTTCAACGTCATGCAAGCGGAGATGTACTACAATTTGGCTCGGGACGTTCAACTCATTTTACTATTGAAGAAGAAAAACATCTAGCAAATGCTTTAACTGTATTACATGTAAAAGTAAATTAAGTTTGAAAAATCGAGATCATGCTTGATAAATATGTTTGTCCTTTTAAGGAATGGGGAGAACCATTAACAATCGAAGAATTCCTTAAATTAGTAGCTATTTATACAAAACATATTAAAAGACCTGACATGTTCAAGGATGGCACACCTAGTCGCGATTGGTATTATGGATTTATGACGCGTCAGTGTGATTTAAAATTAAAAACCCCTCAACCATTAGAAAAAGCCCGTGTCGATATTTCTCAAAGTACCATTACAAAATGGTGTGCTTTAATAGGTATGCTGGCAGATAACTTGTAAATTCTCATCCTTTTGTACATGGGAGATACGTCTATTTTTTAGAATCAATTTTTGAAAAATGCAATTTGATGGATAAACCATCTCAAATATTTAATTGTGACGAAACTGGCTTTTCGGATAAATCGTCAGCTAAGAAAGTTCTCGTCAGGAAAAATAAGCGATTTACATATCAAGTTCAATATGGCTCTGGTAAAGCGCACATAACAACGCTCTTCTGTATTAGTACCAGTGGACAAATATTACCACCATATATTGTTTATAAATCGAAACGAATAATGGTTAAATGGTGTTTAAATGGACCAAAAGGTAAATCAAAATTTATATCCATTTTTGAACTATTTATGTATAAGTATTTCCTTTAGGATGCTGGTTATAACTGTTCTCGAAATGGCTGGATGGAGGAAGAAATATTTTTCAAATGGTTTATGGAAATATGTATTCCTTATATCAAAGATATTGCACGCCCATTACTTTTAATATTAGATGGACATAGTTCTCACAGAAGCGTTCGGTTAGTTGAAGCAGCAATTGAACATCAAGTTATTCTCTTTGCTTTGCCACTACATACCACACACATTTTACAGCCATTGGATGTAGTTGTGTTCAAACCAGTCAAAGAAAAATGGAAACAAATATTATCGTTGAATGAAAATTCAGGAAAACCTGTCAACAAAGATAACTTTCCAGGCTTACTGGCTCAACTATTTGAAAAAGGAGTTATAAAAAAATCAAATATTGTGTTAGGTACGTTGTATGTCTTGTATTTTTTTCAGGCTTTATAGCTGTCAAAGCTTACCTCGCAGTCAATTATTAATTAAAACTCCATGTATTTGAATGAAGTGTCTCTGTTTACCCCATGCAGACTAGTGGAGTGTCTGTTTTTACCCCGAGTGGGGGAAAAAGAGACACTTTCATGGGACTCTTCGCATTTTGGATGTGGTTGAAAATCGGACAGAGATTTCTAGGAGATTTTTACATCAACGTGTAGAAAAATGTTCGCTCTACCATCATGTTCAATAGCAAGTTTTCCCGACCAAAAATGACTGAGAACTAATAAAAGTACGACAAAAAATTGAAAAGGTGTCTGTTTTTTCCCCACAGTACTCTAAGTATGACGAATATATGAATATACCAGGTAGCAACGTGGATGGGGACACAGTCTTTGTTTCGTTTTTAAGTGAGTGGAACGATACAGAGACAAAATAAGAACAACCAGGAAGTCAAAGCAGTTACACTATTTTTCAGAAACATAATGTTCGGCACGAACTGTTTACTGTTTCTAGCAGCGCACATTACAGACAATAATCGATCAAGTGACTTCTTACCCTTAGATTATACTATTTAAAAGAATTCATATGTCGAAATTCTTTCACGATTTTTCCCATCACGAGAATCCATCTTTTACAACAGCAGAAACGTACTTTATAGAACTAAAATAGCCTACATTTCAGAAATCAGAACACTCAGAAAGTCATCACAGTCTGACTGTTTTTTAGAAGGATAATGTTGAGCTCAAACTGAACATTCGTGAAGGGACCGTGAGAAATATAAAAAACAAATCGAAACATTAATCATCTAATTAGACACATTTTTAGGAGGTGTGGCACTAATTATTGACTAATTATAATACTCAATTCGTAGCTGCAGGAGAAAAAAGAAACATTTTTCCCTGAAATTATTCATTCTGATAAACAAGTATGGTGCCCTTAGCAAGACTAAAAGGGTTAGCTAAACAGACGTGCTGGATATGGATGTGAACTTTTACAGAAAAACTGTATAGTCAGATGTCCGCCCCGATAAGAGGAGGAATCCCCCTGCTTTTTTGGAAAAATGTACTCCGGAATCAGGATTTTCTTACTCCGAAAATTAGATCTTTGACTTACGAGAATATCCCACAAAGTAAAGCGTTTACTCGTATTTTCAGAGTAAGATAATTATCCTCATTTTTAGAGTATAAAAGGCTTACTCTCAGGTTCGAAGTTTTTACAGTATGAAGAACAGGACGGATTTTGTTAAATCTCAGTACTTAACGGTTTTGAGCCATGCTCTTTCCGATGGCTAACTCCAAATAATTTTAAAAATATTAGAAGTAGGGTTTCCAGAAAACCATGATTCTTCACACATCCATTTACAGAAAATATTTTTTTTTAAAGAAACACTTGTCTGTAAGAATATTTCAAAATCGCGGTTCTATTAAGAATTGAATAGAGTAACAATCTACAACTGCCATATCAAATAGACCGGATTTAAATACTAGCCAATGGGTTAAGGATAGTAAGTTAAAATTTTGTGAGGTTTACTTCTTAATCAAACGAGCTCTCCTATTTAGCATCGTCGAAATCTACTTATTTATTTACCAAAATCCCAAGTGCAAATACAAGTCTTTGGGATCATGATGGTAATTTCAACTCTTCTGAAAGTTATCGCGAGTCATTTTACATTGCTTATTCTATTCAGAAGCTCATGATGACGATGGTGTACAAGATCTAATATCACCAATCAATACCAGCGTGTGGGATCATGAATGTGAGTTTAATAGCTATCTACCGAGTGTTGCTTTCGAGCAATATTTTCCATTTCTAGTCGATATTCCATTAGATTTATCTCGACCAACAAAATCAACTATTAAAATTTTACCTTCGTCATCTGCACTACCATTACTGTTACCATTATCACCACCAATGAGTCCAGCAACAGCCATTCGAAATTCTCTTCGTTCAATGAGACCACCTGCCATTGAACAACCACCATCAAAGCAAGTTGTTCTTGATCGACAGGCTGGCCAGCTTTTAACAGGCGAACAAGCCTTAGAACAATTGAAAGCGAAGGAAGAACGTAAAGCTACTGAAAAATCAACCAAGTCTAAACGAGCAATAACATCAACTAAAAGATGTTCTTCAACAAAAGCAAAAATAAAGAAAAAGTAACCATTATCGATGGTGTGTTTTGCATTAGTTTAGGAAACTTAGATAATAGTCTGTTCTCTCGTTCTGATAGATATTTCGATGGATACTACCACAATTTCTGCTCCAATGACATTATCGACAACAGTCAGACTTCCCACTTCACTCAATCACATATTAATGACTACTCCCGTTACAACCGCATACACATCATTGTTAAACATGCCACAATAAAACCAATTTACCATTATCATCATATTTTTCACCCGGTCCATGGCATCCTGCACCAGATACGATCTTAAGTACCAGTTATCGACTTGATGCATCGTCGAGTCTGTTATCATCATCAACTAATCCATTTCCAGTTAAAATCAAGAACTAGTTCTGTGCGCTACTAACTAACAGAAATTCAAAATGGCTAACACGCCTAAAATTAAGCTTAGAGCTATTCTTTTTCTCAAAAATAATACAAAAAAGTGCAGTTTCTTGCATGAGTTCTTGAGAAAAAGCTCTTATTAGAATTTGCGAGAGAAAGAGACCGGAGCGCAAAAAGAAACGCGAATTTGGCGCCAGATAGCTCTAATTACTTATCTGCCTTCTCTTAGTGTTTCCAGTGGAATTTTTTCGCACTTCGTTTTTCCAGCTGCAGTGTGTCGATACAACCTGATTTCTTCCAGAAAGTGGGCAAATTCTGCAAGAAAAACGCTATAGTACTTAAAGATAAGAACATTTTTTTGATTTGAAAGTTGAGCGTTCCTGATTATACCATGTTTTATTCGGACTTTTCTTTGAGAGCATGATATAATCGAGAAAAATTGAACTGCACACCACATTACAAAATAAGTGCTTGTATAATTCTGGACACTGTTTTGTTTAAATGAGAATGAACATAGATATACACATCATCTAGAAAAGAATGTTTGACTTATAAAAGTATCAGTCCTTATTAACGCTAGCATTTTTGATAGGAAGTGCTCGTTATAAAAGTATATATCTTTGTTTTTTAATGCATACACGGCTAACGGTGAACTGCGCTTCCTTTCGTGCATCTTTAGGCTAGTGATGAGTCATCATCAAGTGCCCTTTCGGCAAAACTTTAGAAGCTCAGATTATCAGAGAGAGCTCTTCAATATCTGGATTAGGGGTGGCGCATTTTCTTTACTGATTAAAGCAACGCTTTCAAATATCATCGTATGAATGACGAACAACCGAAAATGTATTGTTTTATCACCTTTCGGACACAATGCGACTAAAGCGTTACTATATTATGCGTTACTGGTAACGAGTAACGCATGCGTTACTGCGTTACTAGAAAAGTAACGCAAAAAAGCGTTAAAGTAACGCAAATAACGCTGCGTTACTCGTTACAAAAGCTATGAAAAATAAACGCATCTCGTTAGTAGTTACTGGTAACGAGTAACGCATGCGTTACTGCGTTACCTGTAAAGAAACGGTAAAGCGCCGCCCCTAGTTGGCACAATGTGCTCGATAGCAAGACAAGCCGATTAACTTTTTTTATTATTATCATTATTAGACACGGTTTTGTTTTGGATCCACTGAATAACATGAAATCTGTACTTCTGAATTCTTATGAGATGATATCTTTTAGCGTCAGCAGAATTCAGCACCATGAGAAGTCAGCATAATACGAAAAAATGTTTTTTTGAAGGATCAAAATACTGACTCGTAAGTAATCGGTAGCATCGTAGACAAACAGCTAACTCTCTGTTTTACCTAAGAGAGAAATTAGACGCTACACAAAGCTGATATATTACCTACCACTCATTGACATTGTTTTCTTCACTAGATGTTACATGCTAAAATCGCTTATTTTACTGTAGACTTGAAAATAATAGACAGAGTCAATACGATTAATCAAGAAATTGATGTAAAATGTCTGATTAAGTATTTGAGTTGCAGAATAATAAATTATAGTATTTATTGTCGTCGTACAACAATTATGAATTGTCCATAGGATATTTAGTAAACGCTCCATTAGGAGCATGTTCATGAGAAAAAATGAATCGTGCATTCAATCAACAGTATCTAACCCGATTATGTATGATTTCAATTACTATCCGTTTAAGATAAAAAGTCATATCTCTGCCTAAGACGTTGAAGAGTCTCAGTCCATTTCCCTCTAATAAGAAAAACATTAACACCTAATCAATCCAAAACCAGCTTCAAAAGAAAGGTTAACCGAATTCATCATTTACTAGTCCCCAAAAGATTCTGCTGATCCACTATATTCTCCTCAATATGGTTTGTGGACGTAACACCGTTACATGTTTTGGGTTCAGCAAAGAGTTATTTATAACGTTCACTAACGAGGGAACCGCCCCAGGTGCCTAACTCCGATTTCCTTCATTCATACCTCGTTTTATAGAGCACATCGAGCAGGTAAAAAGCCTAAAAGGATTTTAGCGCATGGCTCTTGAAGTCTCGGTTTTCTGCAAAACCAGTTTTTGAGAAGTTCTAAAAAATAATCA